ACTTAGTCATTATGCACCTGAAGTACCTAGAGAACAGTCACATGAAATTAAGGTAATATCGAGGTCTTGAATCTCTGGAGAAAAACTGAAACTCTGGAGAAAAATTTTGAGTTGCAGAAAGAAATGTGGATATTCTTAGCATCTATATGGTAACTTAAATACTGAAAAAGGGTCAGAATGCCCTTGGCAGAGAGTAAAAAGAAAAGATGGGCACAGAAGCTGGAGGAAGAGCAACATCTAAAGCTGAGTTTTTCAGAATGACCTGTGAACCACCTGCATTATAATCTCCTGAGAGTTTGGAGACTCTTGGGTCCATCAACCCACTGAATCAGAGAGTCTGAAAGGCCTAGGAATCTGCGTTTAGGGAAGCAAACCCACTCCCCAGATTATTTGTGTGCAAAATAAAGCTAGAGAACTACTGATCTAGATGAGTACAGGAAAATGAATCCTCCTCACCAAAAAGAAAAAAAAAGGCTAAGAAGGAGCTGTACTCCACTCACCCGTCACTGCTCCCCCACCCCAGGGAAAACAAGAATTTCACATCATAATATCCAGTGGAAAAGAACATACCATCAAAGCAGAGTGAGTTGATGAAATTAGGCAGTCACTAAATATTTACTCAATAAAAAACTGGGGAAAGATTTAAAGTTAGAAATTCCCTACATTCCCAAGCTCCTATATTACCTCTCTACAAGATAAACAAAGTTAGTATCTGGGTATAATCACAATAGTGGGAGATAGCTAAAAAGGGAGGCTGAAATGGGAATCACTTGGATGCCAACAGCTAGGACCAACTGCAAAAATTTAACAGGTACTTAGTGAGTAAGTGAATAACCACCATGAGCCCTCCCATCTAGGGCAATCTCTGACACATACAATCACACACACAGCGCTATGGGATGAAAAGATGTTGAAAACATTGAAATAAAGGTGTCTGCTTCATGACACATATAGATACTCTCGCTCAGATGAACCGTCTCACCAAACACCAAACTAAAGTAAATCACCCCTTCCTTTAAAAAACAAAAGATAAATATTTATCCTGTGGGTCCAAATACATGTGGTATCATTCCTTAGTCATAGTTGCTGAATTAGTCACTTATCAAACAGATCTTTGCCAAAGTGGCCAGGCTTCAGGCAACCAGTTTTGCCGGAAACATCATTTGTTCTGAGCAGTGAAAAGGATCTGTATCTAAAGGCGTTTACCTGAGGAGGAAAAATGATGGGTAGTCCCCACATGAACTCACACCTGCTTGGGACCCTGCCCGGTCCACACACTCCCATTCCGAAGTTACCATATATGCAAAGTGGAGAAGAGAAGAAATTTACTTATTTAGCCCCATTTTTCCTTTATTTTTCTTTCTATTCCTCCATCTGTGCTATGTGAGGGGGAAAAACACTTCAAGCTCACTGAGCACAAAGTGCTCACTCGCAGGTGGCTGCAGATAAATGCATGTTTACTGTGTGCCCGTGTGACTCTGGGTGACTTTCTCTCTTCCAAATGTAATAGTCTATAGTTCTAAGATAGATGAGGGGAACAGCAGTCAAGAAAATAAATGTTTTAATGCTATTAGAGTTTAAACTTTTGAGATCTCTACTTATGAAGAAGGACACTAACCAGAGCTATGAACCAAGTAGTAGAAGTACAAGCTATGAACCAGGTACTAGAATTCTGCTTAATTAAGTCTATAAATAATAAATGGGAATGTTTCAAAAGTTCATCTGATAATTTAGAACAGGAACATAAATTTGTTTTTCAGAGAAAGCACATGATATGAGGTGGTTAGGCACCTAGGCTAACTCACAAAACTTTATTTAACAAGTCCATGCCAGTGAACTGCTGGAAACTTTTTTTTCTTTAAAAGATTTATTTATTTATTTATTTATACAAGCACTGGGTACAGTCAGAAGCGCGGGAGGGCGAGAGAATTCACCAGAGCCGGAGCAGGGAGCAGAGCAGGCAGAAGGACCAAAGTACACTGCTGAGGGGAGCAGCGGGCGGCAGGAGAGGTCTGCGCACCATGTGGGACCCTCCTCCGGTGGCCGGGGAGCAGCCAGGGATCGAACCGGTGCTGCAGAAGCTGCGGGCTGCTTCGCAACCCAGTGCTCAACCACTGCGTCACCGGGGAGGCCCTGCTGGACACTTTTGATTAAAGAAAAAAAGATGGTGCCATTATAGTAATTAATCAAAAAGAACATCAAAATAAAACAGAAAAAAAAATACTGTTTTTGAAGCCTACTCTTTATAATGAAGTCAACCAAAAGACCCACTGACCTGATTACACTGTAGGTCCTTCTATGAAGCAGAGTATTACAGCCCATTCCTCAAGTACAAGGACCCAAGTTAAGATCCCCCCTTTCCTGAATAAAGCGAGAGAGCAGTCACTCGTTTCCAGAGGGCCAGAAGTATGCCAAGGGGGGAGAAAAGCACAGAGGTGAAAAGGAGGAGGGGAATCTTTTTTGGCAGATCCCATCAGCACTATGGGGAAGTTCCGGAACTTAGTGACTGGAGCATCCCTTCATCCCAGCGCCAGGATCCCCTGGCCATAGTCCTGGGAGTTCAGTGGCAGCAGCTCAGTGAACAGTCTGAAAACATGGCAGGCATGCTTCTAGTTAAGGCAGGGGACGTGCAAAGGAAGTACCCGAAGCCGGCATGGGTAATGCAGGCACATGTGTGGCTTTTCTCAGATTTTCCAACTTCCCTTCCCTAGCTGCTTATCATCACACCAGAGACACCAACTTTATTTCTTCTGGTATAATATTTTGTGCTTTCCTGACCTTATCATTATAAAGGTTACATAGCAAAATATGGCCAATTCACTGATAAAGGTCATTTAAAAAGGCATGTGGAAAAAAAAAATCTTGCTTTCCTAACTTTAAGCCTAACTACTTACAGCAGGGGTAACTTGGCAACGATCCTGAAGATTCTTCAGCTTTCTCCCTTCCTGAGGCATATTACTGTTATAGGACAGGGAGAGGGGACTTCCCCCTTTCCTGGGGACCACCCTGTTACATTACCAGTAACCTCTACCTTTCCCATCACACATACACACATATGTATCTCTAATGTGCAAAAGGAAGAAATTAGTCAAGAAACAAAAAGCAAAGAAGATTCTACTTTCCTATTGCAATGTTCAGCATATAAATAATACATTTCTACCAGCTTTCACTTTTCAGATGGGCAACTTTCTCATCTGAGTGGCAGGACACATAAATGGGAAGGAGAAGTCAATGTCACAGAGTATAAATAGCTGTGGCCAAAAACAATATTGCAGAAGAGCCAATGGGAGAAAGGTTCCCAAATTGCAGCAGGAGTGACTTAATTCCATGTCTCCCTTCACAAGGCCTCAGGGAGAAGATCTTCAGGAAACGAAAGAAGGGTGGATGCTACCACGACTCACCTAAGATTCCAATCTTAAGTAGAACTTGCAATGTTTCTAGGGTTTCAGAAATATACACAACACATATGTTACATTTCATCTGGTATGACCATGAAAAGGAATTTTTTCCTAAGGTAAATTAGAGAGAGAAAAAATGCCACTCAAGAGAAGGTCAATCCTTCCTCACATACTAGTAATGATTCACCAATACCAATGCTGATTTTAAAACTATGTTTGTTAACCTCACTCATACCTGAGATAAGATTTGTCATCACATGGCAAATCTCAATTTGAATCTCACATCCAAGTAAACCTTGCATTAATTAGCTTCCTAGGACCCTGCCTTACATACAATCTAAAGGTCCAGGTAGTTTCACAGTGGTTAACTCATCTGCGATCAATGGGCTAACCTTCCTGCAGCACACACTTCACTTTTCACAGGTTTCCAGACTTTTCAGAACTGCTCTCAGGTGTGGAAAGTCATGCCAGCTGCCAAATTTTGTAGAACACACACGTATCCTTCTGGCATCAGCAGCATTCACACAGCGCAGGCAATCATAAAGTTATATAAGAAAAGCAGTCTCTCTCTGAGGAATTAGTTGAGACATCCAAGAATACAAGGATCCAGGAAATCGCACATCCTCTCTGCGGGGCTGGGTCACAGGAACTAGTTACAGAAACAATGCAAAGTACACTGGGAAACCAGGGCGGTCACAGCTGAAAAAGATGCAGGCAACGCCACAGAGGCATCTGCAAGCGCTCCTTGGGAAGGAGGGTGTGTGCTGTCTCTAAAGAGCCCCTGTGGACCTGAGTAACGGTACAAACTGAAAGCACCCCAGCCCGACACGAGTGTCAGCTTGTAGGAGGGGAGGCGAGGGCAAGCGGCATTAAATGACCCACAGCCTGGAGGTGCCGAATCTGTCACCGCCCTGGAACTCGCGCACCCCCGGCACTGCCACCTGCTTTCTACTTGCTCGGGGAGGGCTGGGGACGCGTGGGCCCGAGAGGCACCAGAGGCAGGGATAATGAATGTGGGGTTCCCACAGCCCGAATGTGGGGTTTCCACAGCCCGAGCAGGAGAAACTATCCCCAAGGCCCGACCCCCCGCCGCCGGGCGACCCTCTGCGCGCGGCGCGCGGCCCCAAGGGTGGAAGGTAGAGAACTTGCGGGCGGCGCAGATGAGGGCCAGGGGGCCCGAGGGGAGGGGGCGGCGCCGGGGTCGCCCAGGCCGCGACGCCGGGACCGGGAGGGGAAGGGGGCTGGGGGCGGGATCGCGCGGAGCCAAACAGCCAGGGACCCGGCCGGGGGACCCCCCGGGGCGCGGGTGGGCGCGGGGCAGATCGGGGCGCCCTGGCCGCTACCTGCTGTTGGATCTTCCCGTCCTCCGTGACGACCCAGTGCGTGGTGGCGAGGGCCCCTCGAGCCGCCACGCTCAGCAAGGCGGAGAGGCTGAGGAGCCAGCCTGGGCCGGAGCAAGGCGGCAGCTCGTACCGGCCGCGGACCCCTACTGCCGCCGCCATGTTGCCCCCCCCCCCGGCCCGGCCACTCACACCGGAAGCGGAAGTGAGCCCCCGCCGCCCGCCATCTTGGGGAGGTCGGCGCTGGAAGAGGAGGAGCCGAAAGGCGCTGCCCGCGGACGGCCGCTGTTAGGGCGGCGGGAAAGGCGGCCGCAGGCCCTCGCCCAGCGGCCCTCAGGTGGGAGGACGCTTGTCGGGTGTTTTCCTGCGCGCGATGCGGTCGGGGAGTGTGGAAGCCGGAGGGGACGAAAGTACTGTTCGAAGCCGAAATAGGAGGGATTCAAGAGTGTGTTTTTATTTTTATTTATTTATTTTTTTGGTGGGACCCTCGCCAGTGGCGGGGATCGAACTGGCGGTGCAGGGGCTGCGGGCAGCCTCGCAACCCAGCGCTCAACCGCTGCGCCACCCGGGGAGGCCCGAGTCTGTATTTTTAACGACAGCTCGGCTCTTGTTTTATTTGTATTTCTAGTGTGTAAACTACTTGGGAAATAAAAAGTATGCGTTCGAAACCCTTTGGGGAAGTCATGGGTTCTCTGATTCTTAAAGATTCATATGAAATCTTTACAGTTAGTGAGATTTTTTTGGAACCAGGTCTTTGAAAGCCGTAGGTATTTACACTTAGAGCTCACTTAAATTCCAGCCAGCTGTCCTGCAGGGCTTGCCGCTACCTGTAGACCACCTGGGCAGCAGAGAGCTAAGCTGGAGGCAGAGCTGTGCAGACCAGCAGCATGGACATCATCTAGCATCTTCTCCCCGCCTCCCCATCAGATGGTACCATGTACCAAGCGCTCTAGCTGACCTGCAAGTACATTCAAGTTTGAGAAGCACTTTTTGTTAGGTAACCAGCAGGCAGGCCAAGCGACCAGCATTGCTTTTCTTTAGCTTTATTTTTTAGTATATTTTATTTTATATAATTCTTACATCGTTTTTCATTTATGCACTATGTATGCATTTTCATTTTGCTTATATTCCCTATACAATTCCCACCCCACTTATTTTGACCCTAATCCCTCCTCTCTTCCCCACCCCCTCAGGGACTCCCCCCAGAGTGTGTCTCTGGTTTATAGTTGCTTGTTGATTTTGATTTTTTTCTTTATTATAATTAGTCTTTTTCCTGGCCCCTTATTTAGGTTTTCTAAATTCCTGCTATGAGTGAGACCATCCGGTATTTTTCTTTTGCTTTAAATGTCGTTTCTGGTATTTTCTGGACTGCCTTCTGGCTTTGTGTGTCATTTTATATTTGGATTCGTTATGCTTTTGTTTTTCTCTCCACTCTGTGCAGGTGTATTGCAGGAAAACAGATCACCCCTAAATGTTTAAAACATCACTTCATGCTGTGGAAACGATGACCACCAGCTCGCTGTGGTCTTTTATCTCTTCCGAGAGCAGCTTTTCTTAGAAAACTGGAATGACTTTTCATTTCATTAAACATGTCTTACTTATCTGCTTTTTGCCTGGTAGACTTGGGTATAGAAATCGGACTGCTGAGCAGTGTGCAATCTGGTGGGATATTGGCAGGTTAACAGTTGAAATTAGGGCAATAGAGCATGTGTGGAAGAGAATGACCAAATCAAGTGAAAGCCTTGGAGCAAAAGCGCTGGTTCAGGCAGATTAAGCAGTGAGTGTGAAAGGTGAAATTGGTAGCCGGTATTAAAGGCTTCCTTAATGCTCTCAGCATCTCATTTTAGGCATGTAAGTCAACCCTCTGTATATAAAGTTACTAAGTAATCGCAAAGGTCATGTTAACAATAGTTGTGTTGTATTTCTTGTAAACACTGGCACTGTACAGTTTCTGTGAAGCTTCACTCACCAGTAGGCTCCTTAAGTAATTTGGCCAAGATCATATAGTTAATGAGCAGCAGAGGTCAGATCTACCAGTTTCTGGAGCCTGAGCATGAAGGATGAGTTTGAGAGAAGCCACATCACATATTTTGACCACCAGCAATTTCTTCAACACAAGTTCATCTGTAAAGGGGCAGAATCATACTTCTATGGCTTTACTGAATCACCCATCTCTGTTTTCCCTAAATGATAGACTGAATCGTATGTTCATTTTCTATTGCTGTGTAACACTGCCACAAATTTAGCAGCCTAACATACACTTACTGTCACAGTTACTATGGCATGGTTTGTCTGGATTCTCAGTGTCTCATAGCTGATGGCAAGGCTGCAGTCTCATCTGAGGCTTGGGAGTTCTTTTCCAACAATCGCTTTCAGGTTCTTAGCAGAATTCAGTTCCTTGCTATTGTAAGACTCAGGTCCCAGTTTTCTTGTTGGCTGCTGACTGTGGTCACTACTTTTTTTTATTTTTGAGTTTTTTTTTTTTTTTTAAAGATTTATTTATTTATTTATACAAGCATTGGGTACAGTCAGAAGCACGGGAGGGTGAGAGAATTCACCAGAGCCAGAGCGGGGAACAGAACAGGCAGAAGGACCGAAGTACACTGCTGAGGGGAGCAGTGGGTGCGGCAGGAGAGGTCTGCCCACCATGCGGGACCCTCACCCAGCGGCCGGGGATTGGGCCAGGGATCGAACCGGCGCTGCAGAGGCTGCGGGCAGCTTTGCAGCCCAGCGCTCAACTGCTGCTCCACCAGGGGAGGCCCTTTTAGATAAAATCTATAGAAATTTAAGATGGTAGTTGAGAAGGTGGTTGAAGTCTCTATAGTGTGATCAATTCTTAATTGAATGAAAACCCATGTGATTTTTAAAAACATTTTAGCAAAATGTTTTAGTCCTTTATTTACTATCATTATAAATTAAGATTTTTTCCTGGGCCTCCATGGTGGTGCAAGAGCTTAAGTCTTAGCCCTATAAAACTATCAGTAGCCATTGCAGCACAAGTTCTATCCCAGGCCAGGGAGCTGACCCACATGGCACAGCAGACCTCTCGTGTCTCGCCCACTGTTCCCCTCAGCAGTCTATTTCAGTCTGTCTGCCTGTACTGCTCCCCACTCTGTCTCTGGTGAATCCTCTCATCCTGCTGCACCTCTGTCCTACACCCTAGCTCTTGTATATATAAATAAATCACTCTTAAAAAAATAGGTTTTTTCCTTTTAATAGTCCATGTTTATTATAGCACACAAACATCTTCTATGAAGCTACTGCTCTTCTCTGCCCACAGGCTGTTTCTTAAATAGAAAAAAAATAGCTTATTGCAGATTTCCCATTGTCTGTACTTTGATCCTGCTATGGCTGGGTCCTATACCCAATTTAGGAGAAAAGAATTTTCATAGAAAGTGAAATCTAGTCTCACATCAACCAGATGAATGCATGGATTCGGGGAATAATTATTTTGTACAGAAGAAACATGCCTCAGTACCAGAAGGAGAATGGTGCCCTCTGAGTTACTGCAGGTAGCTCACTATCATAGATGAATTTAGGAGTTGTGGGGGTCAAGATTGGGAACCAAAGACCCCATTCTTTAGCAAAAGCTGGCACATTTGGAAATCTCAAATGCTTTTCCTTGTGGTCAATCCCAAATGTTTTTCCTTGCGGTCTATGTATCAGGCTGGTTTTCAGCTCAAATTAATCCCTCAGACTTTCTATGCTACCTCTCTTACAAATCACGACATTCAAATGCCTCAGGGTCCTTGTAACACTGATTGCACTTTGAAATTGGCTTGTTTCATCAGCCTCTGCAAGACTGAATGTAAACTCCATGAATTTGCATGTCTTGTTCATATATTCTCAGAGCCTTGAACACTGCCTTTGGATTTATTTATTGAAAGTTTACTAGATGGCAAGCACTGGTTTAGATGCTCAGGATTACCAGTGGGCAAAATGCAAAAATCCTTACCTTTATATATTTTAGCCATATTACATTCTAGAAAGGAGAGACAGTAAACAACAGTATGTTAAAAGTTGCCAAATACTCCAGAGAACACTTAGGCTAAGTGAGATCTGGAATGTTGGCAGGGTATTGAGGCATAGCAATATTAAATAGGATTTGAGAAGGTAATCATTGAGGATTTGAAGGCTTTGGAGTTATACAAGTGGATGTGAGTGGCTATTACAGAATCAAGTCTGGAGACTCTAAGGCAGAGGGGAGGCTTTGCCTAGCCTTCCTGAAGCCAATTGACTTGGACAAAGAAATCCAGGGTGAGTAGCAGCTGAGATGAGACATTAAAAGTCATGGCAATATTTCTCATTTTCATTCTGAAATGGGCCATTCAACAGCTTCAATTAGAGCAATGACTTTGCTGCTGTGTTTAGAACAGGCTATAGGGTCATGTTCTCAGCATATAGATATTAAAGTCATAGGACTAGATGTGATCACCAAGGGAATTTAGATTATCTTATCCTGACCCATTTATGCATTGGCTTTAGGATACTCTTAACCACCCTTGGGTTTCTTCACTAAAGCATTTTAATAAAGGCTGGTAGTCAAGAAGTTTCAAGTTGCTTAACATCATGAATTTGAGGATAGAAATTATTTATTTTATAATGATTTGGCATGTATCTGATTATTTTGCTGTGATGAAAAGAACCAAATCCTTTTTTCCCCAGAAATATATTTGCTTCTAAAAAATAATTTCAAACAGATAAAAATAAAAGATAATTTGCAAGACTGAACTCCTTGAAGACAAAGCAATGTCTTGTCTATCTCTGTTTTCATGGTCTAAAACACAGCTTGGCACACGAGAAGCAATCAGTAATAACCAAGAATCTGAGGCTGTTATAATCACAACACATCAAGACACAAAACAAAATTACAAAAGGAAATTTATTTCAAAAGCATAAGGGAACATTTACATTTGAACAAGGTGATGAACAGGTGTCTTGCAAAAGAAAAAAAAAAAACATGGCATCAGTTTTTCATTCAAAATTTTGAAGCAAAAATAACTCAAGTTGTGCACTATTGCTCTAGGAAAGAGAAGGAACGGAGCGGGGGTCAAGGATGGAACAGTCAACTCAGTATCAAATTTGAGAAAGCAGTTGCTTCTGTTCAGCTTTGAGTTTACAAATATGCTTTAAAAAAAAAAAGGAAAAGTTACATTTCATGTTCAAATTTATATAACTGTAATCCCAATACAGTTTCTATACTTGAAATGGCTTTAGGCCACTGGCTGATCTGCCTCTGAGGTCCAGACTACCTGGTCACAGTTTTCAAATGGCAATTCCATGTTCCTATGTCTATTCAGATCCCAAGGGAGCTTCGGTTCAGCTCATAGTCTTTTGGAATGTTTAGAGATTATTGCCACCACTCCAGAGTCAAGCTGACCAACTTCTTTTGCTCACTTGTATCATTCTAGTCTTTAAAAAATACTTTTCCATAAACATGTACTGTAATCCTAACAAAGGGGTTTGCCTTTTTCCTAATGGAGAGGTAACAGTACTGAAGACACCTGCATTGCAATCACAAACTATTCCTCAAAAAAATGTCAAACTACTAGAAAATGTCATTCAGGAATTGAATTTGAATAGCAAACATAGGGAAGGAAGCTTAACTGTGAAACAAAAATATATGAAACATTCAAATGCAGAGCAAATGGCCTATGCTACTAAATATGCCCATGACATTAAACACTCCACAAACCCCCCATCTGTTGTTTTAACCTAAAGATTCTATTGGCTAACTTATACAATAATTTTGATTAATAACCTGAGAAGTTAAAATCTTGAAAGTGGCAAAAGCAAACCAAGAGAGCATCCCTTAATGGTGTACCATGTTATCACTTTTTGCGGGTTGCCCTGGTTATTAAGTCCTCAAATTCTAAATTATTCTATCACATCCTATAGAAACCTATATGTACATCAGATTCAGTATTTTGGCTGTATTTCTCCAACAGGGTTCTACAAATTTAGCTTTGAAAATGCAGCCTTTGTTTAAGTTTTAAATAACAATAATCATGTAAGTGCAACTGACTCAAAATTCCTCACTACTGGGAGGAAAACCTACCTAACAAGTTAAGAATGGATTCAACCTCAATAGGATAATCACCGTGTCAAAGACTACCCGTTCCTGGAATTTAAAAAAATGATTTATGTCGTGTAGTCAAGTTTCACAGCATGCATATATATACATACACACACACACAAGCTTATGTATGTATGTATACTATACATACACATTTCTATTTGAATAGTAAGATCCAATATTCAAAAGTCTATAACAACATATGGAGAAGAGTTAAGTAAGCAGTGCAAAGCAACTTACCTCCTAAAAATGAAATGTCATTTCTGTATTTTAAGAAAGTTGCTAAGTATTTCACTTTCATGACACTAGGTAGGAACGCTGCACCACTGCCTAGCAGCTTTATTAAAAAACAAACAAAAATTGTTAAGATTGACCATCACTCTTCTCCATATATTGGGTAAAAAAAATAAGACAAATAGGGGAGAGGAAAATTAGTAACCTTTCAAAACTGATGATCTTTACCAGTCATCAGAAATGGACTGAATTTCATTACATTTTAGACTTGAATTGTTCTCAGTAACAAATTATCAAGATGTTTAAAAGTAAAAGATTCACAATATGAAGTCTGAATAATGATACTGCAAAAACAAGTCAAGTTTGCAGACAAAGCATCCAAAAATATCGCTGATATCGCTGTGATTTTTACCTTGGACACAACCATGGTTTGTTACAAAAGTAGATCATACATACAAAGGTATAAAGAACATTAAGTTTTTAGCTGAAGGCAGCAGTCCTTTTAAAGGGTCATCCCCGGCAATCCAATGAGTAGTAGAATTTAAGTATAGTAAGCTCATGACAATGCTGAAGAATGTGATGAGATTCAGTAGAGTCTTCCTCGACTACGATTTCCTCGTGCTCCCCAACCTCGGCCACCTCTACTTCCCCTGAAGGCTCCTCTCTGCTCTATGAAAAATCGAACAAGGGTTTAGGTCTTGCTCAGGACTTTATGGTACAACAAAAAATATAAAAGGAATATAATTCGCAGCTCTGAGTATATAGTGTAGGCTCCCTAAAAGCAGGATTGGTATTCTGCTAGTCTGGCTACAAATTCAATCTGTACATAAAACCAGGGCAATATATATACCAAAGCACATACTGCACAATTATAGTAGGCACTCATTTAAGTGTATATTGTCAACAGGGATTTTTCAAGGTGACAATGTTATGATTACCTTTTTTCCTAGTCCATTTTTTTTTGTATCCATCACTACCAAAGCTAATTAATGAAACTATAAAAATTTCTATACTTAATATAGAATTAAAAAAGCCACTGGGCTTCAAAAGTTAGTGCCACCTAATGCAAAATATCTTAAGCTATCAGTGGTCAATTTTGAAAAATTAAGCTAGACTGAAAAATGTTCTTTTCAAATGCAATGAAAAGGCAATTTGTTTCGGTCACAGTATTTCAAGCACCTGCATTTGCATAAGGTAGATATAAATGCCAACAGCTTTCCATTGCTTTATCAGCTTCAGGAGCTGCTGAGTGCTGCTAAAAAGGTGAAATGTATACATACAGTGTTTGAGTTACTGAGTAAATCAAGTGTATCTTTCACAAGTCACTTATGTCATATGGCAGAATGAGTCTGATTCATTGGTCAGTCCTTCTCATAGCTTCAGGGAAATATTCCTCAAGGGACTCTTCCCAGGAAAGACCTGAAGTTATCAGCAAGGCTGGACTTTTCATTATATATAAATGAATTAAAAGTCTCAAAACAGATTCTAATTCCAGAGATTAACTCTCTTCAGTGAACTTCAAACTTTCTCATTCCAGTAATGTTGTCATCAGCAGAAAAAACCATTTTGAACCACAGTGCTGGAGCCATGAAAAATTACTGTCAAGTCAATATTGTAATCCATGTAATCCAATGTTTGCCATTATAGCTAGAAATACAGTTATTTGAGTTTGATTTTTTTTCCCGCTCCAGAAGGAAGGAAAAGCAATTCAACTCTCAGAATACTAATTAATTAGACCTTTCCCCAGTGTAGTTCATTTTATCTGAGTGACAGAATGGGATTTGATTCAAAGTTAATTCTCATGTCATGATACATTTTCTAAGCTGATTAGTATGCAAACCACTTAAAATGTTTACTACTTGTTTACTACTCTAGTGAACACATTCAGAAAATCAAGTGGTCTGAGGGCAAGATGCTACCAATGATAAGTGCAGTGACCATGCGTGCAATCAAGGAGTACAGTCACCTTGATGTAACTTGTAACTCCTCATCCAACTGTTTGACACTTCATCTATGCAGATGCCTGCACATTTCCCTCTAATGTAGTCATAATAAAAACCTTCAATTGTCAGGTAATTCAATGTCATCAACACTTAACAAGTAATATAGATATCATTAGCTATAAACTAACAATTACTAAAACCTCTCCTTTCAATTTTTAATATGACAAACTGAGTTACCCTCAGCTGCTCAACTATACCTAAAGAACATATGAAACACATTCTATGAAGGTATTCCTTTGATGTGCTTATGCTTCTATATTGACTATTTCTTTTTGATTTGGAAGTGATGGAATAAAATGATGATTTTGCCAAATGTGAGTAACAAAACATTTCTTCCAATTTGAAGCAACACTGATATACCAGAAAAAAATAAATGTCTTTTTTTCTTCCTGACCCATGGTCATTTCCCCGGGAAGGACACAACAAAGATGAAAAAAAAATCTGAGGTAGACAGACCCACCAATTCTCATGTATAGTTCCAAAATGGGTAATGCAGAATGGGTAAAAGCCAAGAAAACTTCAGATTTTACTGAGACTATCTACAACCTGTTAACATTCAACTCCCAAATGTAAAATACCAGCAGAAATTTCATTCCTACTTTCCAAAGGGAGGAATCCTAGTTTAGTTCACTTTTATGACAAACACCCCAATTATACTGATGACTCCTATAGAGATATTAAAACCAATATGAATACCAGACACAAAAAAATTCACAGGCTCTTCTGTTACTTTGATGACTACAGAACAACTGGAGCTGTGACTCCTGGTTTTTTGTCTTTTTTTTTTTTTTTTGCATGTTGAGAATTTTTAAAAAATCACTTACAATCCAAGCTCTGCATTTTTTCACATTTCTTTCCCACAAGCATTTTATCATCTGCTTCTCATTATCAAACAGGCAATGAATTTCACATGGCAGGATATTCATGGAAACAGAGTAAGTGACTTACCCAAGCAAAAAGGAAGACAATTCTCTATCGCTGCCATAGCTTTTGACTGTTTTTATTTATGTCAAATGAAGATAGTATCTGAGATGATCGTTGCGTGTTTATGATAGGCACCACTTTAAAGTGACAGTGGGCAATATTTTGCACAATGAAGTCACAAAATCTTTTCACAAATATTTGAGGTATGTTAAAAAGCTAAGAGGCTCTTTACATGTAGCCTGCTATTAAGATGCACACTTACAAATTTTACATAACTAAGAGTTCAGTGATCTTGCCCACATTGAAGTTGCCTCGAAGAGTCCAACAGAGTAGAAAGGTTCATTTCACAATCTAAATTGCCTTTTTATAACTTGTTTGCTTGGGTAGTACAGGAATTAAGTGACTGTAGGAGAAATTTATTTAATGTCACAATTATCTTAGAAACAATTAGCTTCAGAATATACCCTTTGCGAACTAATTACTGCAGAATTAATTCTGACTGGTAATCAAGACCAATCGCAAACATGTTTAGTTGCTAGTATCATTACACTTGGACTTAAGCAAGAATCAGTTATATTTTTGTCATTCCTCTTTAAAAGGACCTATGAAGATATAAGCCAATGATTCAAATTCCTGAGAGAAATGATGGCTCTCTTGGCATTAATGGTGAAAGGTGATAGGAAGACTACTTTGGGCAACTGGGAAGACTACAATGTACACATTCCATGCCAAATATTGCTTCACTACCTGACTCTGCTTTTATAACTTGTTTTGAGGTAGCGCAGATGATGAGTACAAGCAGTAGGCTGACAAGGACCAAGAAGGATCATCTGCCAGAAGCTCGATCTATCCGTGAGGGAGAATGAACAGAATGTCTTGCCTTGATGTTGGCATAGGGAAAACCAGGAAATGGCTCATGCCAACTTCCTTACTTTGGAAGTTAGGAAAACCAGGAAATGGCTCATGCCTTCCTTCCTTCCTCTGTCCTATTGGCTTCTCTGAATATAAGAGGCACATTTTTATTTTTTAAGTTCTTAGTGTTGCATGCTCAGTTTAGTGAGGTCACAAAGGTCAGTCAGAAAGCAGGGGGCTAAGCTGTTTACCCAGTAGCTCTAGTCCCACAAGGTGACTCAGAAAAATCACCTGAAAGAACTAGCATATTAGCTGTAAAATGCTAGTAATTGCTAAAATCAAGTATAACATAATTTCTCACAATACTTATACCCAAACGGAAACGCTCACCATAATTAAAGTTGCCCAAATTGCTGCTATATTTCCCACTTGGAGGATTATAAATCTGCCTGGCATCCCTTTTTGGTCCTGCTGGAGATTTCTTGGGTGGTGAACCTGAAGTTGTATCTTCATTGGTTCTCTTTTGCCTGTAAAAGTAAGAACAGCAATAACATTGTATTATATCAGAGGTTATCAACACATACACAATTTAGCAAATCAGTTATGAGAGACACGCTAAAGATGATAGTCACATCAGAAAAGAGAAAATAAAGTTCTGATGTCATCAGATTTACAGTGCTATGTTATACTGACTTTGTGAAAAGTATTTACAAGGATTTAAAATTACAAAAAGGGCTTTAAAATGACCTTAAGTATGAAGCTATAGGCAAATTTGTAAAACATCTCAGAAAAGTGTAGTTATGCCCCATGAGTACAACAAACCTTAGAATTTCAGGGTTTATTCTACCAGTTTATTTGATAAATACTGGTATCAGATTTTGTATTTTTAAGTAATGCTTCTCATAGTGATCTTTTAACATCCTTTAAAAAATCATTTAACAATATCATTTTGCAGAATATTTTGAGTATTTGTAGGTAATTCAGATTTTCATGTTTACAAATTGAAAATATTAAAACACCTGTATCTCTGGAATATATTTCTTACCCGATTTCAACCTTCTGTACAGGTTTCCATGATAATGTTACTGTGCTCTTATAAGAAGGGGGAATGTGGAAGAGATCCTGAGGAGAGAAAATCAGACAAGACTGCTATTGTATAATGGTGGTGGAGGGAGTGATGGTGAGTATAGGAAAGAGAGACATATCTTAAAAATAAATTTTAAGAGGAAGCTTTGATTTATTCTTCTTGTCCTTGAGCTGGTAACAAAATAAAGACCTAAAACAGCTACAAGAGAAAAGTAAAGTGGGACAATTTTGTTTACAAATTACATCTCTTACCTCATTAGTGTCATTTCATGCACATTACACTTAACCTACAGGTAAGTGTTTTCAAAGTCTTGGGACAAGAATCAGTATCAATTTTTATTTTATTTTTAAAGATTTATTTATTTATTTATACAAGAACTGGGGTATAGGCCAGATGCGCAGGAGGGTGAGAGGATTCACCAGAGACAGAGTGGGGAACAGAACAGGCAGACTGACAAAATGCACTGCTGAGGGGAGCAGCAGGCGTGACAGGAGAGGTCTGCTGCGCCATGTGGGACCCTCGCCGGTCGGCGGGGGCCGGTGAGGATAGAACCAGCCCTGCAGAGGCTGCAGAAAGCTTCACAGAGCGCCACTCAACTGCCTGACCACCAGGGGAGGCCCATCACTATCAATTTTAAATAAAGTCAACAAACAAGTATTTTCTTCTGCATGGAAGCAATCACTGAAGTTATTTGCAGAAAATACAACAGTACAATGTGCATTTGATTTCACATTTTTAAGTGCTTCAAAATTACAATACAACTAAAGGCCTGGCTAATTCTGTTTTTCTTCCCCTCAAATATCTATACATTGTCAATAAGGGAAACACCAACAAGATTTAAATACCAAATTATCAATGTGGTAATGCAAATGTTAGCTGAATTTAAATCTTAAAATAATCAAGAACTGAAATAATTCAACCTCACAATATTCTCAAAACTATGGATTCCTAAACATATTTATTGTTAGCATTTTACCTAACATTTCTTACCACCTTCACTCTGATTTTTTATGAAAGTAACTATTTTTTCCAATAGCAAAAATGAATATACCAGTAATAGTCACTTCTTACTATATAAAACTTAGGTCATTGTACCAGATCAATGCAGGGAATTAAGTCAATATAAAGTTTTTGGATCAAATGCTCTTAAGGCTTCCACTTGGAATGATAAAGTAAATGTTATTAACTAAGAAAAGGGACAAGAACAGCTAAGGGGAAGGCCTTACATCTCAGGTGACAATGGGAAATTGGAGTATGGTTTGTTGATTTATTAAAGTAAAACTAAATTTTGCAGTTAGATGAATCTGCTTAAAGAACTAACGACTGTGACGAAATGGCAAGGATGAACCAAAGCACACCAGTTTTCTTTCTTCCTTGTGGATTCCCTAAAACAAAGAACTGACCATGTCACACACTTCTATTCCGTTTAAAAATATTTCAGGATTCTGGGTCTCCCTGTTGGCGCAACAGGTTAAGAGGCAGCACTATGGGGCAATCTGCAGCCACTGCAGCAGGAGTTTGATGCCACCCCAGAAAGGTGACCCATATGGCACCACAGACTCCTGTCTCTCCTGCTGCTTCCCTTAGCAGTGTATTTCAGTTGATCCGCCTGTTTTGTTCCTGTCTCTGGTGAATCCTCTCACATCCCACACCTCTGGCCTGTTCTTATATGCATAAATAAATCTTTAAAAAAAAAATATTTCAGGGGGCCTCCCCGGTGGCGCAGCGGTTGAGCGCTGGGTTGCAAAGCTGCCCGCGGCCTCTGCGGCGCCGGTTCGATCCCCGGCTGCTCCCCGGCCACCGGAGGAGGGTCCCACATGGCGAGCAGAACTCTCCTGCCGCCCCACATGGCGCGCAGAACTCTCCTGCCGCCCGCTGCTCCCCTCAGCAGTGTACTTCGGTCCCTCTGCCTGCTCTGCTCCCCGCTCTGGCTCTGGTGAATTCTCTCACCCTCCCGCGCTTCTGACTGTACCCAGTGCATGTATAAAACAAAAAACAAACAAATAAATAAAGAAAGAAAGAAAACATGCCTCTATATATAAAAAAAAAAAAAAAAAAAAAAATTTCAGGATTCTATACACTGGTTGCTAACCGTATTCATAACTCTCCCTTATACATTTTTCTACTACAGTCATCTTTAAATCATTATGGTTTCCTGAACAGGAAACTTTTTCATCTCCATATACTGGGTCACAGTATTTTATCTGCTACGTTCAAAAAGTTCTAAATACCACAGTATAAATTGTATGGGGAATATAAAAATAAAAATACCACAGTATATTGTCAACGTAGACTTAGGTCATCAGTTCAAATAATCTCACATTTTACTAATATATGAATTCATTCTGAAATTACTGCTTACATTTAATTTTGAAATAAATTGTAGGCTATTAACAAAAATTTTCTTAGGAGATGAGCGTATTCTCACCCCTTCTGTTTTTTAAAATCTCTTTTTACTTTCCACTTGGGAATATAATATTCAGCCCTCAGTGACCCATTGTTGTTCTTTTTGGAAAAGCTTCCCTTTTTCAGATAAATAATAATTGTTCCATGGGATTTTTTTTTTTACCATATTAGTTTTAAGTCACATCATATCCCAATTTTGTTACTCTCAGGCTTGTGCTCCAGGTGTTTCAAATATTTCTTTTGTTCATCTGGCTATAAAACTGTTAAATTATGGTAATAATTGGTGGTTACTTCATTGGGATTTTTCCTTTGCTCTCTCAGGTTATTTTTTGTTTAGGCTAGTAGATACTTGGAAAGGTAAAGAGAACTGAAGGGTACTTAATGTCTTTATGGTAAGGGGCACCTTAGCCTGTAACACAGAAAGCTCTCAATTTATTACATGAACAAGTTAACAGAAAAGACCACTAAAAAACTTTTCAAGTGCCACATGGGACTAACCATTCTTACTGTAAGCAAAGGAGGGTTTTATTGGTCATTCAAAATGCCCCACTAGCATTTTAAGACTATTGGAACTTAAATCAGTAGAATTTCTCAGTCTAAATATATCAGCTATGTTTTATATAAAATTACCATACTTCCTTTCACGGTATCTTCTTCAATAACATTTAAATTAAAAAAAATGCATGATTTTATAATAGATACACAAATTATAATCAATACAATGTACGATTTTGTAGCAGCTACAGAAATTAGTATAAAAAGCACAAAGTTTTAAAAGGCCAGCCATCTGTAATGTAATGCCATCTTCTCTTAAAGAATACTATCACAAACCTGAGCAAACATGAAAAATTTGTTATATTTTCAAAGAGGTAGCTAGGAGAATTGGGTAAGAAAAAAGAGACTTACCTTGATTAAAACATTGATATTGTTTGTTATTTTCAATGCAACAACTTTAATTTTGTTCTACAAAAGGAAAACAAAATTTTGTTTTTCAATAAATTTGTAATGCACACTCCCTTCCCATATAGAACTAGAGTAATTACACTTCTATTTCAGAACCATTTCTAGTTATAGAATTTCTTGTTTCACATTATCACACAGATAATGCTTATTTTATTTCTCTCTAAATTAGGGTAGAGATGACAAAGAAAGAAAACAATATTTATATTCCCTTGACAGGCTAGAACATTGAAGTGTTACCTACAATTTACCTGGATAGTAAGTAAGGGGCAGGTCATATGTACAAAGGAGTTGTATTAAAAGAAACAGTCTACACTGAAGGATAAAATCATAAGAAATCGAATGTATTTCTTTATGATCAGGATGAAGATTGCACAAAAAGGGTGAGACCAGAGAAAACCAAATATTCCAACACAAACACACATGTAGTTTGACAAAGAATTGACAGTTAAATCTTTTTTTAATGTAAATTAATTAGTTTTCAAAAAGGTGAAATTAAAAATATCACAACCAAGTTTTGGCACTGTGAAGCTATCGGCAGCCACTGCAACACAAGTTCGATTCCCGGCCAGGGAGCGAACCCACATGATGCAGCAGACCACTCCTGTCTCACTCCGCTGCTCCCCTTAGCAGTGTATTTCAGTCAGTCTGCCTGTTTTGCTCCCTACTCTGTATCTGGTGAGTCCTTTCACACCCTGCACCTCTCATCTATACCCCAGCTCTTGTATGCATAAATAAATCTTTTTAAAAAAAAAAAAAAAATCACAACCATCAATTATTTAAACAAAATGTACTGCTGAGACCCTAGTTAAAGATTGTATATGTCTAAGATTAGTAATGAACATCATTCCCCCAAATTGGAAATATACAAGATATTTTAACAATGACAAATCTAAGTTAGCAAGTAAGAAAATTTGAAGATGACCTTCTAACATATTTTCAATAGACTTCAAGTAAAATTGAATGTCATATTTCAAAGTATGAATTCAGTATGATCTGTAATAAATGGGGTGATTACCACTAGATGTGACCCATTTTTCTTACCTCTTCTGTTTTTAAGGCCTCGCCTGTTTTGCCTTGGAGAGCCAAGCGAAGTTGTCTGATATAAACCTGCAGGCCTCGTGCAAAGTACTGCAGTCTAAATGAAGAAAATATTTGTTAATTATCAAATCACATCACTTCATTGTTTTCAAATTCTATTTGAATATTAGAGTATACTTAGTAAATAATATTTTTAGTACTCAATACATAATATTCTATTATGCCAAAATGACCTTTACCAATAGAGTAATTTCGAGGATTTAAAGAAAATCACCAATGTTTGATCATGAGGAGGTAGACAGAAAAGTAAACTAAAAGCAGTTTTCCTTTCTTAGAAATGGGAGTAAATCCACACTGAATATGGCAAGAGGGAATTTAGCACTGTCATAGATGCTAAATTCCATAAGGAACCTTCCTTATGTTAACCCACAAGGCATGTGTCTAAATCAAAGTGAAACACAGAATCAGAGTGCCTGGGTTTTACTCTTCTTTGGGGCTAAGTTAAGGTCAAATGACTTCAGACCCATATTTTAATCTCTGTATGTTTATCTTAACAAGAGACAGTGTTTGACCTGTTGGCACCTCAGGATCCAGTTAAAAGTAAAACAAAATTGCAGATTTGAGAATTTATTATAAACTCATCTAAGTCTCAAAGGGTCCTGAATGATCCCTTTTCAAGTTTGTTCCAGGTATGTGTGAAGAAAGAGGGTATCATCACTCCATCCTGCTGACTCTGAAGAACCTGCTTAACAAGGTGTTTCTGGCTTTTTATTTTCAGAGTAATTTCTGAAGTTGTCTGCTTCTAACCAAATGTTTCACCAAGCATTAAATCTTTGTTTTACTAAAGAATAAAGTTATAAATGATATAATGGCCAAGCATTTCCAAATTTAAGACGTGAATTTGTTAAATGGAATGATTTGATATAAAGTGTCTTCATGAACACATCTTATTGATTTCCCTACTGATGCTCCTCCCATGTCACTACGTAAGCAACAACTGCAGCTACAGAGTTTTGAACAGTCTTGGTGTGCCAGGCATTGTGCTCAAAACGGTACATTTACTGTGTCATTTACTCTCATAACTCTATGAGGCAGGTGCTCTTACAACTAAATATAACAGTTGAGGAAAATGTGAGGGGTTAGAGGTTAAGGAACCTATCCCAAGACCACAGTTAGGGGAGAGTCAGAGTCTATTTTTTAAAAAGCTCATTTTTGACCTCATGGATTGGTTGTACCATAGCTGTTATGTATTTATACTAATTCCTGTTTTATGGATCTTCTATTCTGTTCCACTGGGGCAAGGCAGGGTGAGGAATAAGCTCTGGTAAAAGGAAAACAAAGCCCAGGGATAGCTTCCACCTTTGCCAAAGACTGGGCCACTTCAATCACACTTCACCTGATTTTGAAATCCTTGAGCTTCTCTGCATTCAATTTAGCTGTTAAGAAATCTGGAAGTTTTCGGCCCAACTGGTGAAAGCTATATAATAAACATTCCACATAACTGAACTGTAGCTTGGGTTCTTCGTTACCAGCATTCTCCCCGTTTTCTGCTTCTTCTGGAGGGAGAGGCATGTATTCCTAAGAGACGAAATGTAGAGGTGTTTGTAATCTGCTCTAAGTACTCTAATTATAAACATATACTCAAGTAAATTATAGGGCATGTTTTTAAGACAGGAAGCATTAAAACTACCTAGGTAAACTATCCCTTTTACCTATTGGATCAATAATCTAGCCTACCAACGCTCCATATTAACCTGTTATATGTTCCATTACTAATAACAATGAGAGTGAAAGTAGCCAATATTTGTTAGATATTTATGAAGTGAACGAAAGAGAAAATGGTGAAAATGTTGCTGCATGGAAGACAAGATCCAATCTAGGTTTGACATCAGAAGTTGATGCTCTGAAACATTATATTATGCTAATTCCAAAAACCTCCTCTGAACAGCCATCTGTACTGTCTTAAGTATTAGCTTTTGTTACAGTCAAAATACTGTAAATGGCATTCACTATCAGTGTTAACACCCCTAGGTATTAAGGATTGGGAGAGCACCAAATGTTGGATGATCCAACTGATGCTATGGGCCTAGTGCTTAAACACTGTGTCTGTTATTTAACTGCTCACATTCAGCAAGAAAATCACCTGGTGCTAATGGTTTTGTCAGATGGCCTATTTTTTCTACAATTACATCTTAAAAGACTATTTCCTGGTTGTTACTGCTACTTGGCCTTGGACCGCAACTTGGATGTCCTAGAGCAAATGTAAAACATAGTTGGATAAAGGAATAGCAGAAAGATTATTATTACAAATCCTGTATTATATTTTATGCAAAGCATCAACAGAAGAAAAGCCAAAGATTAAAATAGTTTAAAAAAATAAAAGTAAACAACATTATGGCCTGAGAGGCTGATAACACTTGCTAGATTTATTGTCTTTCATAATCTAGAAATTAATACTACCTATTAGACTTTGGGGAGACATACTGACTATGCCATACAAGAAAAAAGTTCTTACCAATAACTTATCAAACAGTTTCCTTAAATTTGTTTCTAATTTTTCCATGTCACCACAAAATGAGCTCATCTCTGCCAACAGTTTCAATACCTAAAATAAAAAATTCACTGTTATTATAGTATTAATTTTTTCCAATAGTCAAGGCTATAAAATAAGCTCTATTTCACATAACTAGTTTAGACTGCTTATTTTTCAACTATGATTTTACAGAATTGTTTGAACTGGGGAAAAAAATAGAGATGTAGCCCCATCTTTCACTGGTAAGGAAACTGAAGGTTAGAGAGATTATGTGACTTGAGACCCAGATCTCATGAGTGAATATATCTGTGAGAAGAAATAAAGAAAAAAATATACATGAGACTTTCTGCTACAGATTAATAGTGTACTATGAGGTGACATTGAGGAAGAATGCTTAATAATAAAGAATTATTTACTAATAGTAAATATGATCTCACTGCTATTTAATTTAGTAGATGTATTCTAACTCAAAGTATGGGTGATTGTCTCTATTCTTTTTTTTTTTTTAATATAGACGCATGTTTATTTATTTATTTATTTATTGTTTATACATGCACTGGGTACAGTCAGAAGCGCGGGAGGGTGAGAGAATTCACCAGAGCCAGAGCGGGGAGCAGAGCAGGCAGAAGGGCCAAAGGACACTGCTGAGGGGAGCAGCGGGCGGCAGGAGAGGTCTGCGCGCCATGTGGGACCCTCCTCCGGTGGCTGGGGAGCAGCCGGGGATCGAACCGGCGCCATAGAGGCCGCGGGTAGCTTCGCAACCCAGCGCTCAACCGCTGCGCCACCAGGGAGGCCCGATTGTCTCTATTCTTGAATTTCATCTCTGCTTTACTACCAGTTTCATAAGCCAAACCGAAGACATGGGGGCAGTAAACCACAAAGTCAGTGTATAGTGAGATTCCTCTATCCTTATGACCTGTGTGGGAAAAGGAATTTACATTTCATATTTCAGTTCTATTTAACAATCATTAAGTGCCTTTCAGAATTAGGCTCTGCACTAGATTCTGGGGATACTAAGAAGAATCATATTAAATATAGGTAGATAAATAAATGTATTGCAAATACTGTGGAAAAAATGTGTATGTACATTACAGTTGAAATACAAAGGAGAGAGTAATCAATTCTATTGGAGAAGAGATAAAGAACTTTTTGTGTTAATCCTGTTTAAATCTGATTCTATTAGTTATGGAGAGATAGGAACTGTCATGAATTAAACACCTTATTTAAAATAACAAGATTACAAAAGTAAGATGGACTATGGTGAAAACTATAGGCAATGCTTTCCTACTGCAGCCAACTCACTGAATCCATAAAGCATTCCTAGGTAATCAATCCTGGGTAGATTACTAGCTAGCCATCAACAGACCTCTTTCTTGATTAGAAAGCAGTCTAAGTTAGTGACTTACACTTATGTTAAAATATGGGAATGCCTTTTCAATGCTCAATGCAGACATTATTCTCTTACCTCCAACTGTATATCAAGACCCTCCACTGGGGTAGTCAAGGAACTGAGGTTAGGGAGAACGTGCTCGCAGAAATAAGTCACAAACTTTGTGGAATGCACATTTTTCTGTAAAAATTCAAAGAACAGTGAGTCATCAAAAAGAAAAAGTGGTATCTCGAATACAATTTGTCATTCAACAAATGCTAACTGAGTGCCACAGCATTAAGTAATGTGGCCACAAATACAGTATGGTGCATAACCCAAAGGCAACCCTGGTAGACAATACATAATACTTCATAGCAAAATAATGTGGAGCATTGGGACATCCTTTTATCTTTGAACTCTTCCTTGAGCCTCATGTCAAAATTTGGGGGAAATTTTAGTGTTGAAACTCATGCTATACATTCCTCAATAAGGATACTTTAAATGGTGTTTTTCAAATTATGCTATACACACCTCAGAAGCTCGTGGTCAGAGTTAGCACAAAGCCAGAGATAAAAGGTTTATTTACTAGAAAATAATCTGTTAGAAATATTTTTTTAAAATGTAAATTACTAAACCAAGTGTTTTAGAAACTCAAACTACAAAGCAAAGCAAAATTCAAAAAAACTTAAATCTCTAAGCAAGACTTTAAAGAGATTTCTTGACTCTTGGGCTCTCAACAACTAGCTTACTCAGGCCTCCAAAAAGTAAATACTCACTAACTTTTATGCAAAGGTTTGAGAAGACTGCACAAGTATCTATAGCTATGAAATACTATAGGGTCACAAAATAGCTATATAAAACAGAGCTCACAGAGAAAAGTGGTACTGCCTGCCGGGTGCACTGTAGGAGCCTGTCCACACAGTCAGGATCCGAGGGATTGAAGGTTTGTTCCAGGTCAGCCTGTTCAGCCACCAACTCTACTAGTTGCTGTCTTCCACTCACTGTCTGTAAGCTTTTTAACCCAGATAATATTTTCATAAACAGGACAAATTCTTCACCAGTCACATCTTCTAGGACCTGGAAAGACATTTCAGAATAGTATCTTTATTACTTAAATAAGAGAGAAAGATCAATATTGAAACAGTGTAGCAAATTTATTTCAGCTTCTAAAGTCAGTTTACTGATTCTAAAATTCTGATGAAAGGACATCTTCGTTTGTTAATTTAGCTAAGTAGTAAACTATGCATTCTCAATGCCATGCTACTGAAGGCAAAATATGGTTCCTGGAAAATTTTACTTTTACATGAAAAGCACAGTTAAACACACAGGACATAGACAGATATGTACTATGTCCATGGCATTAAAATTACATGGGAGAGTGACTAAGGGAAAAAAAAAATCAAAAAAGACGGCTGGGGGTCATAGTGGAGTTAAAAAAAAAAGGCAAATCCCACAGTGAACTGTTAAATTAGCTTCAGTTTTCTTTAAGTTAAAGCAGTTTCAATCATATTAATAAGGAACTGTATACAAAGTAGGAGACCATGCAAGTCTTATTAAGAGTTCCCTATTCATGAATCTAAGTCTTTCTGTTCATTGACCAAAGGAGCAAGTAATCATGACATATTCCACCAGACTACTAGCTGAGACATAGGAAGACATGCTGATATTCCTAGCCAGAGTTTTGCTCCTTTTTCTCTCTCTGAAATCTTATCAGAAAGCAAGTGAGCGGTGCTATTAAGAAAATTTTGATTTTAACTAAAAATATGAAGAAAGTAAATTTTTTCTCAAACTTTGGGACTTCATGAGTGCAAATTTAATTGTGACATACCTTGACTGTTTTAGCATCCATAATGGAATTAGATGCTTGGTGCATAGACCAATAAGCATGGCCTTTTGAGCTTACAGTGTGTCATGGGTTAGGATCAAAAATATAGGTCATTTCAATGTGATCTTCATTTTCATTATGAAACAGTCTAGAATACTACTGGAAAATACGTATAATTAGGGAGTGCTGGGAATTAGGAAAAATTTTCTAAAGAAGGTAACTTGTAGAGAATTTTGAAGAATGCATAAATCCCTAAGGCTAATGTCACAAAGTTTAAACGTGGTATACCCTTAAATGAACATTATGATTCATCATTACAAGTGACCAAAAGTGCAAAACACTATGTAAGAAAAGCTTTAGGTTCTATGGTAGTTCTTATTGGTTATAATCATATTGTACAGAAGCACTGAGGAATACTGTCAATTTCAACTGTCTTTTGCTTTAAAGAATTTCTAAACAATGACCAAAGCTCACCTTTTTGGATTCAGTTAGTATAAGTTCTTCTACTTCCTTTGTTAAGACTTCATCTGGTAAAGTCTTAAGCTTTGTAGAAAGGAATTTGATTGCTCGTTCTCTCACAATGTCCTCTCCTTGAAGTATTTGACTGAACAAACCACCTAAAGTACCTGAAAAAGAAAAGAGAGTTGTGTGTAGCAAGCCAATTCCATACTATACTAAAGTTTTTTAATTTAACTCAATTTATAGCGTTTCTTTCCAAGTGAATTACTAAACATCCTTGATAGTCATTAGTTTAAAAAATTCAAAAGTCTCAATCGTAAGACTGAGCATATCCTTTGTCTATGGATTCAAAATCAGCTGTGTATAACTTTTCTATCATTTAATAGTAATGTATAAACACAGGTATTTTGGGAGGGTTTTTTTTTTTTTTTTTTAATGTGGCAAAGGGAGTCTTTCCAGATTTCTAATGGAACACTGTGGTCCATTTTTGCAATATTTCTGCTGTATTTTTGAATCACAAACATTTGGAGCTGAATGGTTTTTAGAACACTTAGAATTTTATGAAATTGACCCTTGGACGAATCCCAGACTTTATTCTTAATGAATAATACCAAGCTTCTCAACTGTTTAAAAGATACCAAACACAGTTCAGAAGAAGGGGACTTACCTTTTGCATCCATCTTAAATATACTTAACAGGGCATTGTTGACTAAATTAAATTCTGCAGAGTCATCTAGATTAAAAAAAAAAAAGTGGTACAAAGCATAAAACAGATGAAAAAATCATCTATTTCTTCTTCAAACTTAAGATTCAATATTGTTTCTCAGAAATTACACTGAGGGGAGCTATAACTAAGCATTTCTCTCAAGTACTAAGAAAATATATCTTCCTAATTATTCAGGGTTGAGAACCCGAACTAGCATACCTGGAATGTTTTTATGTTAAGATGGCACACTTAAAAAACTATACAAAACAGGGTCGGGGGGCTTATGATGCATCAAAATTCCCAAAAGAATCCAGTCACTGTAGTTTTATAAATAGCGTTAAAAATAAAACCACCCCAAGAACTAGTCACAAGTCATTAAACTTCAAACTACTGAATGAGAAGAATTTTAATTTCTACCAGAGGTAGCACCTTCAGGAAAGAAAAAAAGCTGGAACAGTAACTAACTCTGAAACATTAGATAAAAGGATAATATAAAATTCCATACCTGTTTGCAAAAGCTGAGTTAGTATATCAGCCACCCGGGGAAGATTTTCTCCAGTGGCAAATTGAGGCAGCTCTTTAATTGCTTGCCGTCGAATCTGGATATGATTTCAAAGAAAAGAATTAACCAAAACATTATCATCAATAAAAACAACAAACCTAATCTTCAAAGAAAACTAGAACTACAAAAAAAAATCATAATTATGGGAGTATGAGTCAGAAAAATATAAAACATAAGATTTCTAGCAGTTTTAGGAATAATTTGCTCCAATTTAAGAACAAGCTTCACAAAATAAACAAAACATGGTGGTAAGAATTGTTAAGCACAATTATCTGATGGGAATGGACAGTCTTGACATTATAAACAATGGTTCATAAACTGATCATATACAACTGCTGGGATCTTTACTACCTTCTCTCACAGAACAGAAGTTAAGGATGGTTACAGTTGCAATTTCCTATTAATAACTATATACTCTGGAATGTTCAGTATGACTACTCTATACATTATGTGTGAATATAATTTATGTACTTCATTTTGAATATGTGGTATTGCCTTATTAAGTTTAACAAAATGTACTATAGTCATAGCTAGCAAATTCTGCATGGAATGTTGGCAATTCATAATTTTATTTGAAAAGATAGAGCTGATGTTGAAAATTCTACTAGTTCATTCTGTTCCAAGGAAAAATGATTTCTTCCTACTTTAGTAATCACATGCAAATATTACATAGACCAATTATTTTTCTGCTCTGCAAAATATATAGGGGTGATGAAACTATTAAATATTATTCATATTTTAAATATCTGAGCAAGTATAAATGATTGAAAACAAACATTTAGTCTAATTTCATGCATACCATATAAGAATCTTTGAAAAAGATGTCAGAGACAACCTATTTTTAACAGTGGATAACATGATCGGTATTTCAATTACATGAGTTGCACACTGGAAATGGTAAGAGAAACATCTGAAAGCTTGTTGAAAGCATCAGTCATAAACTTACGGACACGTCTTCATCCTCACAGAGGTCTAACTGTGCATTGATTGCAGAATCAGCCAATTCTGGAAAATGCTTGAAGAATTTTGGAATAAACTGAGCTGCTAATCTTTTTTCCTTTGTACCACCTTTCACGCCATCCAATATCACTTGATAGGCATCCTTATGCTAAAAATAAATAAATAAATAAATAAATAAATAAATAAATAAATAAATAAAACAGAAAAAAACACAATATTGAAGGATGGGAAACTAAACAAACTTGTATGGTCTGTTTAACATTAGCAAAATTTTACATAGGCTAAGAACTAGGGCTTAGTTTTGGAGTTTTATTGCTCCAGTTGGACACTGACCTTTCCACAGCCTGGGCTCCTTCTCCCCACCTTAGTCATTTGTGAATTATGGCAGAGAGAAGAATGGCTCAATTTTAGGTGGAAAAGCAAATAAGTTTGTTGAATCACCATCGTTTCTTTATTCTAGTGATTACTGACCCTAACTTGTGACTCTATCATGCTTAACAAACTAACGAATAATACAGAATTCTCAAAGAATTGTGTAACATCTATTTAAATATATTTACCTGCTTCTAATAAACACCTTGAAGGCAGGGAAAATACATTCTTGTAATCAGGCAATTAATTTAAGCTTTATTATGCCTCACATTTTAGGATATGAAAATAATTCACTGTGTAAGGCCAGCCAATTTTTAATGAAGACAGAATCTAATGTCACATATTTAACTTTTATTATAGATCAGTACACTTAAAACTCATTTGTTTTCTTTTTAATAAAAATTCAGAACTGCTTTCCCACACACTCATAATGTGAAAGGGTCAACAAGTTCCCAATGCCCCTTTACACATGTGCCTCAAAACCAATCCTTTTATTAAATGTCAGTGACTGAGCTGGTGAACAACAGTAATAAGTATCAAGGCTGTGTGGACATATGGATAACATTTTTAACTACTGGAACACTTTAACCACTGTAACAAAGATACCAAACTTAAGTACTGAGTAGTGTTTATTCTGCATGAGGGACTGCTCTAAGTACTTTAGATTTGAGCTTATTTCATGCCACAAAGAGGGGAATGACTAATAATACCCAATGAACTGTAGAATTACTTAGAATTACTAAAAATTCAATTTCACAGTAGTTTTTTTCCATGTTAAGTGAAAAAAGTAAAGCAGGATATAAAATTATAAAAGCATAGTGGGACCTCAATTAAGGACTTTTTTTTTTTTAATAATCAGAAACTGTTCCCTGTATTACAAAACTTGATCACACTGGGGATCACCTTGGGGAGCTTCCAGAGCTCCAGGACAGACCTGGGCTGGCTGGTTCGCCCCTGTGCTCAGGCAGCCTTGGTTGGCAGTCTCCCACCCCAGGGAGGTCACCACAGCCTACAAGGAAGGACACCACATGGGCATAGTGCACTACAGTCCAGACCTCCCAAGCTCAAGTGAACCTCCTGCCTCTGCCTCCCAAATTACTGGGATTACAGGCACAGGCCACCACGCCCAGCCTAGGGTCACAAACAGATCTTTTAAAGGTACAGATTTTAAGTTACTCCACACAATTACCAGATTACTTCAAGTTAGACTGAAACAAATTCCATCACTGATTAGTAATACCCCTTAATACCCCCTTTTAATATCATAAACACAATACCAACTCCCATGTAACAAAAGTTTCTGGGAATAAGGTGAGCTCCTTATGAAATAGACATAAAAATCAACCTTTGGACCTAATACTTCAAAAGGATATATTTTTTAGTGCAAAGATTTGAAAAATCATGGCTGACTTTTCTACCGCTTTACATTCCTGTGGTTTGCCTCATAGCTTCTAGACAGACTTCATACTTTTTTGTTTTTTAACTTTTGCAGGGTATCAAAATGTAGTTTCCTTTAACTCAAACTTAAAAATTTTACTTATAAATTCTTTTGAAGAAACTCCTTACATTGTCTGCAATTAAACAAAGAATCTCTACTTGCAATAAGTCATCCTTCTGCCAAGAAAAAAAAATCTGGAGTAGAATCAAAAGGAATCATTTGCAATACTTATTGAAAGCCTACCAGGGACTGAATCTACCGTGTGTGTATGCCTCACAGTAATTCCGTGAGGTAGGTGTTATTATCCCAATCCCTGTTTTTCAAATGAGAAAATCAAGGCTAAGTCAGAGAGGTGAAATAATTTGTCTACAGCTACACACAGATCCAGGACCTGAACATTGTTACAGGGGCTGTAAAATCAAGATCTGTGCCTAATGCAAGTTTTCTTTTTTTTTTTTTTTTTAAAGATTTATTTATTTATGCATACAAGAACTGGGGTACAGGCCAGAGATGAGGGGAGTGAGAGGATTCACCGGAGACAGAATGGGGAACAGAACAGGCAGACTGACTGAAATACACTGCTGAGGGGAGCAGCGGGTGAGACAGGAGAGGTCTGCTGCGCCATGTGGTTACATCCCTGGCCAGCTGGGGATAGAACTCGTGCTGCAGTGGCTTCGGATAGCTTCACAATGCTGTGCTTAACCCTTTGTGCCACGAGGGACGCCTATAAGTTTTTTTTAAAGATTATTTATGCATGCAAGAACTGGGGTGTAAGCCAGAGATGTGGGGGATGGGGGAAGTGAGAGGATTCACCAGAGTGGGGAGCAGAACAGGCAGATCTACTGGAATATGCTGCTGAGGGGAACAGTGGGTGAGGCAGGAGAGGTCTGCTGCGTCATGTGGGTTAGCTCCCCCGCCTGGGATCAAACTCTTGCTGCAGTGGCTGGCGATAGCTTGATAGAGCTGTCTTTAAACCCTGCTCCACCAGGGAAGCCCCTAATACTACAAGTTTTGTTAATTGTAATCTTTTAATTACTGTCTGAGCTAATAATAAACAAATTAGTAAGTATCATAGTAAGCATAGCCCACCTTCAGTTCCCCCAGAATTCACAGCTCCAGGTGAGCAAACCCCTATACTTCATTACAAAGGGATCTTTATGTCTTATGCATAGTTGCTTGATAGCTCTGTTACAGTGCCATAAAAGTAGCCCTAATCCATCAAGCACAGGGAATTGCACCAAAATTCTAGCAGTCAGTTGTCTCTAGTAAGCAACAACTTCCACCCTATTTTATTTATCACTGGTCTTCCTCACTAAAGGTACATTTGGGGAGAGCACCTGTTTTTCCATCTTGCACCTCCAGTGCCCAGGACAGTAACTTTGAAGTGTGATAGGCACTCAAAAAATGTACTGAATCAATGAAATCATGTGCATGAAGTCTGCATGAAACCCCTCCCCTGGTTTTCACCAACTTCTGTCTCCTAAGTCACTCTTTCTAAATTAATAGCAGATTTTTACCTTGAAAGACATTTTTGATCTCTTGGGGGAGAACTATCAACCTAATCTGCTACTTATAATTAAAGATGACGTAAGGGGAAAAATGCAAGCTACTCTCAATTATTCATGGTATATAAAGTCCAGTTTGGCTTTTGTTTGCTCTAACATACACTAAAGAAATGATTGTCAACTTTTTAGTACTCCAGAAAAAAAAGAAGGGTGACAGTATGCACAACACTACATACATGATTTCAGCATTTCCCTAGAAGATCCCTGACATTCCTCTCTGGGAGAGCATCATTTACAAACTGACTGAGAAGCACTAGCCCAATACGCCCTCATTGTGCAGTAAAATCATTTTTAGGTAGAACAATTTGTTCCAGTCTTCCCAAACTCAGTCACTGAAAAATGACAATGAAGGAAGGCATCTTCATTACTAGTTCCTTCTAGGAACACCAACAAAACCTAACTTTAACCGGCCATAGTTTATTCCACCTTGTTTTCAGGCGTAGAAAATGTCTCCTTCACATTCAACCTAAGACAAACATTTACAACAGATTTACAACAGATTGTACATTTACAACAGATCTTCAACACATTCAATGATGTCAACATTCCCTACCCAAAAGGGAAAACGTAGGGAAGGAAAATCATCTGATACTTGAAACGGGCCTAGTTTCAGTTCTAGATAAAACTAAAATAAGGCTCCCACAACGCACACTTTTTTGTTCCGCTCAGAAAGGTTCTACCTGAACAACACACTGCAAGACGGGCCGGGAAGGGCACTGCCACACCTTTGTGTTGCTGCCTTACAGGACAGCCTCCCTCCTACTCCAAGGGATGAGTAAAGAGAACCACATGCAGTTTGCAGCACTTGTAAAAGACAACGGGATTTCTAAAACAGTGAACAAGACGACCTCGGGAGGCCCTGGCTCTTGTTCCCAGGAAACATTCACACAGTCACCCAACAACACCTCCAGGTCAACGTCCTCGAGGACCTGAAAACTCCCCAAGCAGCCATGGTCTGCATGCACAACTCAACCACAACCAAACTGCGACTCTGGAGCAAACCCTGCCGAGTCCGGCTCTCGCCAGGCAACACTATTCACCGTTGTTCTCTCCCGCTTCCCCTCAATACCCGGTCCTGCTCCATTTTCAATGGAAGCCAGCAGCCCTGCCTCACCTCCCTAGTTATCACTGACCTTCCTCCTCAACGGGACCTTCCGAGAAAGTACCGCCCCCCCTCCCGGCCCTGCAGCTCCAGCGCCCGCCACAGCGCGACAGGCGCTCAAAAACGTACCAAATCAACGAAACCAGGGGCCCCCCAAAGTCTGCACCAAAGCGCCCGATCGATCCCTCTCCTGGCTTTCCCCAGCGTCCGTCTCCTGAGACACTCTTCCCAAGTTAATTAAAAAAAATAAATGCCTTGAAAGACCATCCCTGGCCTGTTGAGGAGCAACCCCCCCCCGCACCCCTTTACCACAGCCCTGGCCGGCGTGAGCGCCCCCGAAAGGGGAGCGCGCGGGGAAAGCAAGCCCGTCTGCAGGGGCTGAGCCGGGGACGCCGCGGGGAGAAGGGCTGACGAAAGGGCGGCAGAGGAGCCCGGCTCCAGGGCCGCGCTCTCCCCGGGGACGCGGCGGCGGCCCCCGCGGCTCGCGGGCGGGAGCGGCAGCCGCAGCCTCTCCCCGCCGGGCAGCGCTGCCCCGAGGCCGCGGAGCGCCGGGCCCTGCAGGCCGCTGGGGCGCTGACCTGGCCCACTTGCTCCGTGGCGTCGGCCAGGATGCCGTAGTTGCGGTAAAGTTCCTCCACGGTCGGCATGGCGAGCCCCAAGCCCAAGGCCCGCTCCAGCTGTCCCCGCCGCCGCCCGCGCCACCGCCGCCGCTGAAGTTCTCCGAGCCCGCGACCCGCACTATTACGCTTCCAGCTGCCGCCAGTGTCGCCGCCAGTCACCGCGCACAGGACGGCTCCGCCCCCAGCGTCTACGTAAGGGCGGGCGCGTCGGGAGCGGCCTTCGCTGACCGCCAATGGGCCCGTTAGGGTTTAGCGCCCCCTCGCGGTTGGAGGTGCAACAAGCGCGCCTATTTAATTTAATGGCAAAGACCATTAAATTAGCACTTTGGTTTTTTTTTTTTTTTTTTTTTTTTTTTTTTTAAAGATGTGTTTATTTATGCATGCAAGATCTGGGGTACAGGATAGAGGTGTGTGTGTGGGGTGAGAGGTGTTGTGCCCATTGTCGACCAGTGCAGCCCCCAAGGACACACAGACAGCCGCTGTAAGATCATAAAGGAGTTTATTACGGGCTCGAGTCCGGGCCCACAACACGCACCGATGCAACGGTGGAGGTCGGGAGCCCTGAACAAAGGGAACAGGGATCTTATATAGGGTTATAAGCAGATCTCTAAAAATTAAATCATGTTGGCAAACATTCATTGGTTACACAGGTGCATTTCCTAACAGCGGTGGGTGCACAGATTCAGTTTTTGAGCTGATTGGTCACATCAAGATGCAGCTCTATTTTATGGCTAGTTTGACCCTATTAGTGGCCTGAATTGCTCAGCTCCGCTGTGGCTAGCCGACTGAGATAAGACCAGAGTGGGGTGGGGGTCGAACTCTGGAATGCAGTCTTTTCCCGGGACAGCAAGACCTGAAATTCTAAAATGGCAGTTACACACAAAATGACAAAGCAATGGCTAACAATATTTATGCTTGGTTCCACAAGAGGATTCACCAGAGACAGAGTGGGGAGCAGGCCGGGCAGACTGACTGAAATACACTGCTGAGGGGAGCAGTGGGTGAAACAGGAGAGGTGTGCTGAGCCATGTGGGTAGCTCCCTGGCCAGCTGGGGGTCGAACTCGTGCTGCAGAGGCTACGGATTGCTTCATAGTGCTGTGTTTAACCCCTTGCGCCACCAGGGAGGCCCTGTTTTATTTTTTAAAAGATTTATTTATGGGCCTCCCCAGTGGTGCAGCGGTTGAGCGCTGGGTTGTGAAGCTGCCCGCAGCCTCTGCAGCGCCGGTTTGATCCCCAGCTGCTCCCCGGCCACCGGAGGGTCCCACATGGCGTGCAGACCTCTCCTGCCGCCCGCTGCTCCCTTCAGCAGTGTACTTCGGCCCTTCTGCCTGCTCTGCTCCCTGCTCTGGCTCTGGTGATTTCTCTCACCCTCCCACGCTTCTGACTGTACCCAGTGCTTGTATAAATGAATAAATAAATAAATCTTTAAAAAAAAAGATTTATTTATTTTGTGCATGCAAGAGCTGGACACAGGCCAGAGGTGTGTGTGGGGGGTGAGAGGATTCACCAGAGACAGAGTGGGGAGCAGAACAGGCAGACTGACTGAAATACACTGCTGAGGGGTGCAGTGGGTGAGACAGGAGAGGTCTGCTGCGCCGTGTGGGTCAACTTCCTGGCGGGGGATTGAACTCGAGCTGCAGAGGCTGCCTGAGGTCGTTCTTAGGAACCTGGAATATGGTCTCTGCACTTGGGGACTCACAGGACTGGTGCTGGGTAACAGGTGGCAGCATAGTGGTGGTGACCATGTGGGACCTACTTTCCTTCCCAGATTTTTCTGGAGCAAGAGGGTAGACGTGATTTGCTTGTAGCAAACAGGACCACATAAACAAGCAATTACAGATCCATTCTGACTCCTGCTCTAGGGGGTCAGGGCAGAGTGAAGAAGCCCCCCCCCACCCATCATCAATGGCAGCAGTAACTGTTGGTGATTGAGAGCAGCATATTAGCACCTGTGAACATTATTCATAATCTCATTTAGATGAAGTTTAAAAGAGAGCACCCCACATTCATAAAACAGGCAACTACATGACCCAGCAAGCTTTGCATTTCCCGAGATTTCCCTTTCGGGTGGAAATGGGGCGGTGGCACTGCAGAGGTTTCATGTGGGGAGAGCATAGGAAGTCCCTATAGCTCCTTCCAGGAGTACATTAAGTCAGCTGGCTCTTCCCTTTTGTTTACAAATGAAAGCTGCTTGTTGTTTAAATGGCTGATCGAGGATGTCGATGAGTCCTTTGGGAGTCCCAGCCTCCCCCAGGCCTCTACCAGGTCAGAGAACTCGTGTAGTGTGGCTCATTCCAGACCTTTCCTGCGCACAGTGTCTTTTCTCACAAGGCCCTCTCTGGGCATCTTCCTAGGGGGGCTCAGAACCCGCCTCCCCGGCCGAGTGGGGGTGAGAAGCAGGAGGGCCAGGTGGAGAGCAGGCCCCAGCAGCAGCAGAGAGCTGACTGTCAATCAAATTTGGAGTTTGGGTTCTCTTGTAGGACTGGACATTTTCATTTCTGCATTGAGGACTATCTCTTAAGTCAGAGTGAACAAAAAATTTATGTGTCTGCCCAAATTTTTCTCTAGGGCCAGAATGAGATTATTCTACCCGAATCCGTTTTAAAGAGAATGGAAGACAATATGAAAGTGTTTTGGCCGCACCCCCCAAGTTAGGTAGTCTTCGCTTATCTGCAATTTGGCTTTCTGTGGCTACAGTTACCTTCGAGGTCAACTGTGGTCTGCAAATAGTAAGAGGAAAATTCCAGAAAGAAATAATGGATCGTTTTTAAATTGCACACCCTTCTGCTCAGCGTGATTACCGGCTCTTACACTGGGGGGTTCTGGCCGTGATTCATGCCAGGCGAGGACACTGTCACATAGCCTACTCCTTAGTCACTTGGTAGCCACCTCTTATCAGATCGTCTGCGGTGGTATCACACTGTTGCGTTCAAGTCGCCTTCTAGAAATTGAATAATGGCCCAAAGTGCATGAGTGGTGATGTTGCTGTGCGAATATGCCAAAGAGAAGCTATAAAGTACTTCTTTAAAGGGAAAAGATGACAGTCTGAACCTGGGGGAAAAAAATCATATGCTGTGGTTGCTAAAATCTATGATAAGGATGAATCTCCTGTCTGAATTTGTGAAGAAGGGAAAAGAAATTTGTGCTCCTTTTACGTCGCACCTCCAACTGTGCCCGCTCACATCATCACTGGAAGGGTGAGTACAGTGTAAGCTGTTTTGAGGCAGAGTCACTACATTCACGGAACTGTGTTTATGATACAGTAAGTCCTTGCTTAGGATCAGTTCTTGGAACTGCCACTTTCAGTGAAATGCTGTTTAACAAAAATGTCCAATGTGGGAAGGGATTTTGTTTCCTTATCAATGACATAAGGAAGTGATGTTATATCGTTTTAATTGTTCTATTTTATTACTAGTTATTATCAGTCTCTTACTATGCCTTGCTTTATAAATTTACCTTTTTCATAGGTAGACATGTATAGATGAAAAGAATAAAATATGTAGGTTTCGGTACTGTTCATGGTTTCAGGCATCCATTGGGGGTCTTGGACTGTACCCCAGTGGGTAAGGGGGGGGACTCCTGTATTCAGTGTAGTGTTCAGTATGTGTTTAAAACTAGAGAGAAGGAACCCGGGCAGGACGAGGCCATATGTGTTCAGGGAGCATTGCTTTGCCTTCATCTTTTAATCCATTACAGTAAGAGTATATAAATACATACATGTGGTACATATATATATGTCTATGTAATTTTATATATTAAAAATTTTAACATAAAACTAAAAAGAGGAAAAAGACTCCATAAGTGTTTCTCTGTTCTAAAATCTAGCCAATCACACAAATTCCTTCCAATTTAATTTTTTTAAAAAAAGATTTATTATTTAGGCTGGATACAGTCACAGGCGCGAGAGGGTGAGAGAATTCACCAGAGCCAGAGCGGGGAGCAGGGCAGGCAGAGGGACTGAGGTACACTGCTGAGGGGAGCAGCGGGCAAGGTCTGCGCGCCAGGTGGGACCCTCCTCTGGTGGCCCCCTTCCAATTTAATTTTAACTCACTACTGATGCAGTGTGTGCTGGCAGCAACACTCAGGCTTGGGAAATGTTCTTGGAATTAGCCTAGACAGATCAGGACAGTCTCTGATTTAGCACTTTCCCTAGAAATCTGCAGCGAATATTTCTCCCTTTTTATTGTTCTTCTGCACCACTCAGATCTCTCTAGTCTGTACTGAAGTTTGTATACAGCATCGCTAGATAATAAAACAGGAACAACTTATCAATGTCCAATAAATGCTAAATAAATGAAGGGATGAACTAAGGAATAGTAAACAAATTCACAGTTTCCTGACAGCATTTATTATAGATGGTAAGAGCTGCTACCCATTTCTTTGTGGTAGAAATTTCTTATTTTGTTTTTATTGTTATTATGGTGTTTTTTTAAAAAAGATTTTATTTATTTATTTTATGCATGCAAGAACTGGGGTGTAGGCCAGAGGTGCCGGGGGTGAGAAGATTCACCAGAGATAGAGTAGGGAACAGAACAGGCGGCTCTACTGAAACACACTGCTGAGGGGAGCAGTGGTCGAGACAGGAGAGGTCTGCTGCTCCTTATGAGTCACCTCCCTGGCTGGGGATCCGAACTCATGCTGCAATGGCTGGCTGTAGCTTGGTAGTGCTGAGACTTTAACCCCTGTGCCACCAGGAAGGCCCTGTTATTATGTTATTTTAGAAAATAATTCTTTCTTACTTCTTACCTCCACCACTATGCTCCCCCACCTACCAATGAGTGACTTTTGTCCTAGTAAATGGTGACATTTTGTGTGCTGGGACTGTCTTTGAAGCAACTTATTTGTTTATCTATTTTAAGTCTATTAAATATATGTGAAAGATTTAAAGAACCGCCCCCTCCCCTGCCATTACTTGAGAGGCCTGGTGTTTTGGATCCCTTTGCTAGCCTGCATTCTGAGAGCTTTTATTTTCATCCAATTTCTTCCAAGGAGGCCCTTTTAATTCCAGCAGAAAAAAGATCATGACTCTCTAGAAACAAGAGAAATAGGTTAAGGTCTAGCTGGGTCTTAATTGAACTAATGATGATAATAATAGCAAATATCCATTGGGTGTTTAATGTGTGCTTAATAGCATGTGTGTTACAGTAATAGCTGAACCG